CACTGCTGGCTATTAATAACCTTGGAAGCTCACTGTGTTTCTGACGTAAAAGGTTTCAAAGGAATTGTTAAAAATCAATATTTCTAAGAAGAAAATAAATGGGATTTTTGTTCTATATTGACTGAAGCGTCCCTGACGTTTAACCAGGAACTGTAGTAACTAACCACCATCTCTTGCCTCCGAGCGGATTTGCTGCTGAACAGTTTTCGCCACTTCCTCCAAACCAAACGACACTGACAGAGAGGGTACACAGAGAAGAAATGAGCTGCAGTCGTACCTGCTGACGTGGTGTATTGCTCTGCTGTGAGCTGTATGTGCTGGAAGGACTGATGGCAGCCAGAAACGCCATTAAACCTCAAATTCATTTGTGCCTAAAGGTTTGACAAGTTCAATCCAGAGTTAAATTTTTTTTATTTCAATAACTACAGGGTCTGTCTGATAAAAATGTCATCAAAGTGATCATATCCTTTGAGATCTGCTGGGTTTGCTGACTGTGCCGTCAGATATTTCACTGCTATCGCAGTAATTCACACTGCTGCTGGTCTACAGCTTAATCCCATTGATGGGACTTCCTTCTCCAACTGATTTTGCTGTCTGACAGGTTTTTTTTTTTACCCTTTTTTTGAATCCAAATTCACTGATCCCCTGCAGCAAGCAGTGATTCAGACTGAATGATACATGAACCTGAAGTCTCTTTGCAGCACCGCATGCAGAATATTCTCCTGCTGAGCAACACAGTCCTTCTCCAATATTGCTAATGTCACAAAAATGCTGCGAAAAGAGATCAGAGAGAGACGAGGCCTTTGTGGTGTAACCTTGACTTAAATCAGAGCGCCTTTAGAGAGCAGCACAAACACTCCACAGATGCAGTCAGCAGCTCTTGATTGTAGTTTTCAGTGCTTTGGATGTTTGTTAAAGGCTGTATTTCTTACCTCTATTTATTAAAATATTTAGCATTCTTTAATAAAAATTATTGGATGTTTTGATAATAAAATTTGAGCCTGGCTCAGCCTGGAAGCATTTCCATCTTTTCAAAAAAAAAACACCAATCCATTAATAATGATGTATTTTCTTTTATCCCCCCGCCCCATATGATTATGATTATGCATATTAAGTTTTGACTTTCCAGCAAGCAGGGCTGAAATGAGGCTGAAATATGAAGATCTCAGTGAAATATTATCTCAGAGCAGCTGTGTGACGCTACATGCTGAAAATCATTTGGAATATTAATCTATGATTTTGAATGGGCTCTGTTATGTGAAAAATGTTATTTTTAACAAATAACAAATAATTTAACAAATAATTATAAAATTAAAAAATGATTTAATATTTATAATTCTTAAAATTAAGACATTTAACAAAAGCCTTTAACAATTTTGAAATATACATACATACACACTTTTATTTTTGCAAAAACAGGTATTTACAGGTTTTATTTTTGCAAAAACAAACAAGTCAAATAATATGAAGTATATTATTAATGTATATAAAACACACATTTAGCCTATATAGCATTTAACAAAAATGTTAAATAATAAATAAAAACAATAAACTAATAAAAACAATTTTTATATATTTTGTTTACATTTTATATTTTTAATTTTAATGATTATTTCTGAGATCTCAATTTTACACTAAACATGGTAATGATTGGCTATTAATAACCTTGGAAGCTCACTGTGTTTCTGACGTAAAAGGTTTCAAAGGAATTGTTAAAAATCAATATTTCTAAGAAGAAAATAAATGGGATTTTTGTTCTATATTGACTGAAGCGTCCCTGACGTTTAACCAGGAACTGTAGTAACTAACCACCATCTCTTGCCTCCGAGCGGATTTGCTGCTGAACAGTTTTCGCCACTTCCTCCAAACCAAACGACACTGACAGAGAGGGTACACAGAGAAGAAATGAGCTGCAGTCGTACCTGCTGACGTGGTGTATTGCTCTGCTGTGAGCTGTATGTGCTGGAAGGACTGATGGCAGCCAGAAACGCCATTAAACCTCAAATTAATTTGTGCCTAAAGGTTTGACAAGTTCAATCCAGAGTTCAATTTTTTTTATTTCAATAACTACAGGGTCTGTCTGATAAAAGTGTCATCAAAGTGATCATATCCTTTGAGATCTGCTGGGTTTGCTGACTGTGCCGTCAGATATTTCACTGCTATCGCAGTAATTCACACTGCTGCTGGTCTACAGCTTAATCACATTGATGGGACTTCCTTCTCCAACTGATTTTGCTGTCTGACAGGTTTTTTTTTTACCCTTTTTTTTAATCCAAATTCACTGATCCTCTGCAGCAAGCAGTGATTCAGACTGAATGATACATGAACCTGAAGTCTCTTTGCAGCACCGCATGCAGGATATTCTCCTGCTGAGCAACACAGTCCTTCTCCAATATTGCTAATGTCGCAAAAATGCTGCGAAAAGAGATCAGAGAGAGACGAGGCCTTTGTGGTGTAACCTTGACTTAAATCAGAGCGCCTTTAGAGAGCAGCACAAACACTCCACAGATGCAGTCAGCAGCTCTTGATTGTAGTTTTCAGTGCTTTGGATGTTTGTTAAAGGCTGTATTTCTTACCTCTATTTATTAAAATATTTAGCATTCTTTAATAAAAATTATTGGATGTTTTGATAATAAAATTTGAGCCTGGCTCAGCCTTGAAGCATTTCCATCTTTTCAAAAAAAAAACACCAATCCATTAATAATGATGTATTTTCTTTTATCCCCCCGCCCCATATGATTATGATTATGCATATTAAGTTTTGACTTTCCAGCAAGCAGGGCTGAAATGAGGCTGAAATATGAAGATCTCAGTGAAATATTATCTCAGAGCAGCTGTGTGACGCTACATGCTGAAAATCATTTGGAATATTAATCTATGATTTTGAATGGGCTCTGTTATGTGAAAAATGTTATTTTTAACAAATAACAAATAATTTAACAAATAATTATAAAATTAAAAAATGATTTAATATTTATAATTCTTAAAATTAAGACATTTAACAAAAGCCTTTAACAATTTTGAAATATACATACATACACACTTTTATTTTTGCAAAAACAGGTATTTACAGGTTTTATTTTTGCAAAAACAAACAAGTCAAATAATATGAAGTATATTATTAATGTATATAAAACACACATTTAGCCTATATAGCATTTAACAAAAATGTTAAATAATAAATAAACTATAAACTAATAAAAACAATTTTTATATATTTTGTTTACATTTTATATTTTTAATTTTAATGATTATTTCTGAGATCTCAATTTTACACTAAACATGGTAATGATCTCAAATACAATGGCTACATTTGGTCCAACAGCGTTTGCAGTGATGCCTGTAAGCAGTGATAACTCATAATACGGTGTGAATTTGGCCAGCTGGGAGATTCACATCTCACGTTCTTGACAAAATTGCTGCTGATACAATTGAGAGTGCGAGTGTTAAAACTGCACAGAGTTTTAACCAATATTTACTGAAAAATAGGTGTTGCTTTTGCTTTAATACTAAGAACCCTGTGACATGGTTGCTCTTAGTCTGTCTTATTATCATCTGAGGTAACAGTGAAAGCTGAGGCGTCTTACTGGATATGGAGGTGTAGAGGGCAAAGGTCTGCAGGCTGGTGAGCTCTTTGCGCCGGGTCTCCTCCACGCTCGAGCAGAAGATGTGCTCCCAGGCATACAGCTTCAAGAGTTTGATACCCCGCAGCAATTCATTGGTCTTCTTCAGCCGCTCGCTGGAATATTCCTGAGCGTTCGACACATAAATGATACATTAGTAACAATGCTAAAGGCTCCTAAAATCTCCTGCGTCTTATTTGAGTTCAATATTTGACAGGTTTATCATTTGGACTGCTCTGGCTTTCCTGTACAAATGTCATCTGTATTTGAACAAAAGCTGTATTTGCACTAGATTGTCACTTGACTGCAGGTTAAGACATCAAACAAAGAAATGAGCTCACCAATGTGCTTTTCTGTGCATCTGATAACTTGGTCGCCACAAAGTACTGCACCGGAGCCAGGAGGGTGATGACCGTGGCCCCTATCAAGGCACTTATTCCCAGGAGGTAGTACAGGAGGATGACTCCCACTATGATCTGAAACCAAGAGGAAATGACATCCTTTCATAATCAGTAGCACTTTTTTCACAGTTAGTGATAAAGATAAGGTTTATGGCAAAATGCCTGATATTTTAATGATCAGGGAAGCTTAGTGCAGGATTTTTCCCCTCACAAATATCATTATTAAAATAACATGGCAGTTCTACAGAGGACAGAATAAAAAGACTAAGTGACTAAGTTTTTATTTATTTCTTGTTAAAAACTAAAAAAAATAAACTATAGCAATTATTAAAACACACATACACACACACACACACACACACACACAATGCACTTAGAACACATTTCATGAATATTTGATAATTTCTAAATCTAATAATTAACTTTTAATATTATAATTCTGTAAATGTGTTAAATTGTTTTGAGTTAAACATTTAATTTATAAAGTTTAACATATTATATAATTAAATGATAAATAAAAACGACTAACTACTAAAAAACTATTTAAATAATAAAATAAAGAATAATAACAATAATTAAATATAGTAAAATAAATATATATTATATAAATATTTATATAATATATATTATATATAACAGTTAAAACTTTATATTATCATATATTATCATTCTGTAAATGTGTTAAACACATTTAATTAACAATGTTAAACCTATTTATTTAAAGTAACATGAAAATATTATTAGACAATAGTATTATAAGGTAGTATTATAATGAAGAATTTATAATGGAGCATGTGATTCGTTATTAAATATGCAGTGAGTGAAAAAAAAATGTTGTTGCCTTAGGGAACTAATCAAGATTTGCCCAGAGGCAGCCATGAGTAACCCCGAGAGCAAAGTACGTGCCATACAAAACGTATAGGGACTTCAACTTCCTAGTCTGTCTTGAGACTTCCTGTTTGTGAGAATCAAATGTGCATGTATACGTGTATATGCAATCTGTTTCACAACAAAAGTTCTCTAGGACTCTCATTATTTCAAGAGTAATTTAATGACTTAATTATTGGGCTTGTTGAATTTTTCACCTTGCCATCAATGAATGCATTTTTATTTAAATCATTCAAGAGCCCCACTGACAAAGAAACCGATTTCCACAAGTGACACTCTATTTTACACAAGATGAGGCTTTCAAGGACAAATATACTGTTATACACAGACTAAAAATAGATCTTGCAGAGGTATCTGACATTTCACACTGTCTAACCTCAGGAGAAACACGTTCAGTAGCAGAAGGAGTGTGAAGAATACTGAGTGGCTTTGCAACATCTTTAAATTTTGTTTTGTTCAGCTCAAGATCCGTCTGCTGTAGCGAAATCATGCCATTCAAAGGTAAGAGTCAGTGTGTTGAGAAATTACATTGAAACTTTGACTGATTTACTGGTAATTTATTTTACACATGTAAGATTACATCCAGTAATCCAAAGTGTTGGGGAAGTTCTTTTTTAATTATTGAAATATTGCATATTTGCATTGATATTTGATAGCATTGATATTTGCAATGACATGCTGTGTTTGCATTCCCTGTGAATTTTGAACCTTTTAATGAATTCTTGCATTAATTTATGTTATGAGTGTCATCTACACAAATTTCCAAACCCAATAATTACACAAAAGGCTTATTTTTATAAAAACATTTTTTTTTTCAAACTAAAAAAATGACAAGATTAATCACATTAAAATGTTTTATGTACTGACAGCCGTATTAATATAAATTTAAACGGATAAATGACAAGACCATTATAAAATAAAATAAAATAAAGCAAAGCAAAACAACACAGCAAAGCAAACACAATACAAAGCAAGGAAAGCAAAAAACAAAACAAGACAAAATCAAGACAAAACACAAAAGGCAAAGCAAAAAACAAAAACAAAAAAACTAAACAAAAAGGAAAACAAAACTCACAAAAAACTAAAACAAATATTAAAACAACAAAAAAAGCAAAGCAGAAAAATAAAATAAAATAAGACAACAAAATACAAAACACGAAAAGAAACACAAAAACAAAACAAGACAACAAAGCAAAAAACAACAAAAGAAAAAAACAAAGTAAAACAAAACAAAAAGGAAACAAAAAAGCAAAGCCAACAAAACAAAGCAAAATAAACAAATAAACAAAGTAAAGCAAAACAAACACTATAACCTAAAGTGTCTATATGTAACATAATGTGGTCTATAATCTAGACTACATTACATACATTAACCAATTTTGCTGCAGTGTTGGGATGTAACTGGATTGCCAGTGTAAATTCTGGGATATGTAGATTCTCTGATAGAAATAAATTAAGGACACTGACTATACAGTATCTTATATTCAGGAAAACAGAAATCCAAATCTCTAAAATAGTCAAGTTAAGATAAGATCTTAATTCAGAATTACTTTGACTCTTGCTGGCACTGGACATGTTGGAATTGAATACGGCAATATGATTGAAACAATTGACTCAAGGCCCATTCACAGACTTGCACCATCATTCCCCAATGCATTGAACTCTATGGAGAAAGGAACCTTGTGTAAGGCTTTACCTGAACTGGCATTGCGAACAGGTTGGGACACAGGAAGAAGAACCACATCAGCTGGTTGGTGTCTACGGCAACGAGGTTGCAGATCTGGCCCACTGTCATTCCCCCCATGGACATGTTGGCGGTGCAGAGATGCATTATTTTATTGAAGATCTTTGTCTGGAAGTGAAACCGAATATATCATATTATTTGAAGGGACTTTGGCAATCAAAAGTTGTGCAGTCAATGAAGTATTCGCTGCGCTGACCTGAATGGCTCCTCTCAGGTTGATTCCAGTCTCGATGGCAACATAGTAGGAGGCCTGGAGGAAAGTCCTCTGGAGGAGCAGAGCGAAGAACAGCAGCACGGCGAGGACGTAAGCATTAGCAAGAAACTCCTGGGAGGAGATGAAGTAGATTCCAAGATGCTTCACCTGAAACACATCAAACCATTTAGCATTAGCCATGACTGTCCTCTGTAAAACTAGTTAGGCAGTGAGAGGTTGATGGCCATATTACTACATATTATAAGCTTAACCAGTTTTTAATGCTACTAGTACTAGTCTTTCCTTACTATGGCACTGTCCTGTCACCATTTTCCTCTAAAGAGAAAGCACAGGACACTATTTATAATTCTATTATACAACTATATCATGTAATTAAAGATTAGAGCAGCAACAAATGAGTCAATTAAACCAAAGAAAAAGAACCACCACTGACAGAGCAATAAGTCCCGAATTATAATTATAAATTAACAACATAAAACATGGGGTAACTTTCCCTTCTAGAGCAAGGGCTACAGCTGATGCCCCACTAAAAAAAATATAAATGCACGAATGAATGAATGAATGAATAAATAAAAAAAATTACCAAAATAAATAATTAATTTTAATAACTAATGACAGCAGCATGACGACAGACCGCTTTGTAACACAAAATGAAAATGTGAAAAGACAGAGCCATGGCCACCGGTTTCTAATTTTATCTTCAAAATACCTAAGAGAACAAAAGTGCTTGTTCATGCCAACAACACAAATACCAAATTTAAGAATTTCATTTCAGTGTCTTTTACTTTTGGACCAACCAACATTCTGCCCTTATTCTTAGTCGTTTTATATGCGGCTCAGATGGGTGCAAAAGACAGAGATGTTCTTACCGGTGGCTGAATGGTGTGGTTCTCTTTACTGAGATGGTGCACGATGCCTGAGATGCAGAGCGGCCCGGCAAAGCCAAGCAGATCTGCCATGAAACGGTAGGTGATGCTGAGAAACAGAGGTCTTCCAAAGGCCTGTCGCAGAGCCGTCCAAATACACTTGGGCCCCTGCAGCAGAGTGCCTTGAGGCCTCTGAATAAGTAACAGAAAATAAAGACAGATATGAATAGAACCAAGATTTGTTTGGAATGCATCTAAATTAGTCACTGTACTAAAAAGGAGGAAGTCATAATATCTCTGTTCTAAGCTTGCTGTCTACTGTCTACAGCCAGGCAGCTACCTCCTAACACAATAACTAGATTAGATTCCAGGATTAGAGTTAGCATGTTGCTAGGCTAACTATGGGATTATTAATCTTAACACAAAGCACACACAAACACCAGGTAAAATTGTTCAATTAAGTTAACTATTTTTTTTAATACATTATGCTATTGAATGCTATGATGAAAATTACAGGCCTCTCTCATCTTTTTAAGTGGGAGAACTTGCACAATTGGTGGCTGACTAAATACTTTTTTTCTCCACTGTATATTTACAGATGTCTCTAGACTCCATTCACAATCGTAGATGAATTTAGTCACTGGCCATGTGGAAAAATTAGTACATATGAACAAACTTTTAAAAAGAGTACTTCTTATGGAGAAAAATAAACATATTTAAGTGTGAACTGGATGTTTACAGACTCTTCATTTGATGTTAATTGCAATTAAATGAAAATGTATTATACTTTACATTCATATTAAATGCAATATGCTGAAATTGTAAGTGTTTTTGAGATACTAAAGTACATCTTTACATATAATTATGTTCATAATGACTTCTATTGTTTTTTAAATATGACTAAAGGGTGAGCTTGTAAGGAATCGCCTTACCTGCAAATGATTACCCTGTTGAAAAAACCAGCATATGCTGGTTAGGTATGTTTTGATGCTGGGATGCTGGTTTAAGCTGGTCCTTTGCTGGTTAAAGCTGGTCCTTATGCTGGTCCTTTGCTGGACCAGCTTAAACCAGCAAAGGACCAGCTTAAACCAGCAAAGGACCAGCTTAAACCAGCATCCCAGCATCAAAACATACCTAACCAGCATATGCTGGTTTTTTCAACAGGGTAGTTTTGCTAAATTACAGTATTATGTTGCTGCATACATCTAGCAACAATCTTTGCTTTGGAGGCACTCTGACTTAAAATACTGTTTAGGTAAGCAGCTTTCAAGCTTTTGGAACAGAGCTTTTATCTTTTCTTTACTAAACAGCTGCTTAGTCATACTATCACAAGTTGTCGAGGAACAAGGAATACAGGCATGAGATTCAAACTTCAAAGAAGACTTTACTGAGAACACGGGAGTAGAACAACACATAACACAAGACAATAACCGACAAAGGATAGAACAGAATCAGGACTATAAATACATGCATGGTAAATGAGGGAGCTAAACATGAACAGCTGGACAAGGATTAACTAATCAGAAACCATGGTAACTAATGAGAGCTCATAACAGACATGACAGGAACTGAACTAAACTGAACATAATCGTGACGCATACAAATGGCATATTTTTGGTCTTTTGTCTTATGATTATGAAGATTAATGACTAAGAAATAATTCAAACAAACAAACTTTTCTATTTGAATAAAAAGTCTGTTGTTGTTTAAACATTTTAAATCCAGCACATTTTAGAAAAACTGATTTACATAGACATACTAAGAAATTAGGAAAAATAATTTCCTCCTTGCATTTTGTTATGCTAATATGTATTTAAAGGCAGTGTACATGCATAATTACAGTGCTGTTATGGATTGCTCTGTACATTTCAAACTGCTGTATCAGTGGATTTGATCCCTAACAGGCGAGCACTGCGGTAATTTTCAGCCGTGCATTTTTATCTGAAATGCAATTAAACACACATCTCTGAATCTCATTAGCTCTGACCCAGTCATTTTTCTAAGCCAAACACTGTAGCCATAAACTTGAGGTTATTGTGACCTGAAAACACTTTGGCGAAATGAAATAAGCACGTAATGTTAGAAGATATAGCAGTTAAGATGTATTTTGAATGATAACGTATTTGAAAACGATACATTTGCTATTTTGTGTTGATATCTTTGTGCTTAAGTACTGCATACCCAGCTAACAAAAATATGTTTTAAGAACGTTTTTGCTAATGTTCCCATTAAATATTATTCATTTTATGTTCTCTGAAAGTTCAAAAAGTCCAGTTCTTTAAATTTATTTTTTTATAATGTATCATCATGGAAACTTTATTTTTGAATGTTCTCGGAACATTCTTAAACAAGTAGTAACATTATAAAATGTTTAACAAAAGTCCAACTAAAACGTAAAAAAAAAAAAAAACACATTCCATGAACGATGCATAAATAATATTTTTTGACGTTTTGAGAACATTAATAAAGACCAGATAAATCTGAACAAGCGTTTGTTCATAACTGCCAGAATGTCCTGAGAATGTTCCCTGTTAGCTGGGTGTGATATTTCCTTACAGCCAGGGCGAAACCATTTTTTCAACCTGTTTTACCCCTACATTAGTGCATTTCTGACATTAACTTGTGAAGACAAATTGTTTGGCAGGGATTTTTTTTTATCATTTGGGAATTTATTCAATGGTAAAAAATGGGCATGCACACCAGAGTGGATCTGGATGTGATGCTAATCCTGAACTATTGCACTAGAGGATGGAATCACTCATATGCAGCATTTATTAAGCCATTGCTAATGGAGTTCATCACACGAGATGTGACTGATGTCACAGTGCACTCGTGCCACACGTGAAAACCGTCACGTTATAAACTCTCACAAAATCCATTTACATGGAGTTGAGCGCACAAACACGTAACTGCTCATGTCACATGTGCTTTATTCCCATGACAACAGAGATGCAGAAGTCCTTCACCCCGCTGAGGGTCAAAAGATCACTGCGTTCATAGCGCAAAAGGAACATCTTCTCTTTTTCAATGCTTTAAAGACACGTACGCTATAGACATGGTATTCCACACCTGTCTTTCTGTGATTATACATATATTCATATATACATTTGGGATGGGTGTCATCACGCGTCTCAACCAATCAGAGCATTTGGGGTGGGCCTAACACCGTGTGTACACCGGACGCGATGCGACAACGCGTCCAGTAATTGTAGACAGACTTTAGTTGTCGCGGCCCGGCATCCGGTGTATAGGATCGCAATGAATGACGGCACGTATGATTTGTCGTGTCGCGCTGCATCCAGTGTAGACAGCATCTCTGATTATAATGGGTTCTATAGTATTTTGTCACATCGCACCACGCCACGCCGCTCGCGTCCGGTGTAGACATGGTGTCAAGACGCACCATCACAAGGATACACGAATTATATGAAAAGGAGATTTTAATTTGATTACATTAATGTTTAAGTTGAGATTTACAATAAATATTTTAACTGCTACAATATATAGGGAATACTGCTGTAAAAAAACACCTTATTTGTTTAAAGTGTTTGCAAACCAAATGTTATTTCACTTTTGTTCATACAGCAGTACTTTTAAAATAAAAGTGCATAATACAGTACTTTTGACTTCATTATTGAATTTTGCGCATAACAACGCTATTAATCACGATTAATCACAGAAAAATCATGCGATAAAGTTTTTTAATTGTTGCCCAGCAGCACTAGATTGTTTTATATCTCTTACATGTCTTGAAAAAGGCAGTTGCTAACAAGTGGCTAAATGAGACTACAGAGGTTGTAGTTGAGGACTTTAAATGTCCTCATCTACTCACTAGTCTGCTTTTACAGCCTCGCTGTATTTATAATGGCGCCTTTGCAAACTACTCTAACTCAAACTTACAGGGATTTTTTTTTGCTTTTTAAATAAAGTTTTAAAGTGTCAGAGTCAGTGTATTTTGCTTAAAGTCTACATTTAGCTTTTTACTTCTGCTGTTTGCATGTAGGCTTCAAAGTCCTCTTTTACTCATTGTTTGGTGTCACATCCTAGCATTGAGAGAAAATAAAAAATAGTATTAGTAAAGGTAAAAAACAATATGGCAGATGATTAAAATTTACCTTCTGGGCTTCAAAGGCCTCGCTGAGCTTCAGGTAGTTAGTTAGAGCTCTCATAGCAATTGGTAGCTTGCCAATGACCTTCAAATCGATGGGGCGTCTGTGTGCTGCAGTGATGAAGGTGTTCATCCACCAGTATGTGCTTTTAGACAGCAGGTTCACAAAGGGCTGCAGGAATCGAACCCCCAGGTCCTGTAAATCCTCTGGGGGCTTCACTTCAGTGGGGTGTGCAAAACACATATATCGCTGTAGAAAAAAAACGGAGAATAAACTGTCAAAATTCTTCCAATTGTACATGAAAGAAAAAGCAATGTTTCCAATCTCATCTTTGAAGATCAGAATTTAAAAACAATAATAATAATAATAATAATTTGTTGCATTTATATAGCGCTTTTCTTGGCACTCAAAGCGCTTTACATTGTCAGGGGGTATCTCCTCATCCACCACCAGTGTGCAGCATCCACCTGGATGATGCGACAGCAGCCATAGTGCGCCAGAACACCCACCACACACCAGCTTATTGGTGGAGAGGAGACAGAGTGATGAAGCCAATCAGCAGATATGGGGATTGTTAGGAGGCCATGATGATCAGACGCCAATGGGCAAATTTGGCCAGGATGCCGAGGTCACACCTCTACTCTTTTCGAAAGACATCCTGGGATTTTTAATGACCACAGAGAGTCAGGACCTCGGTTTAACGTCTCATCCGAAGGACGGTGCTTGTTGACAGTATAGTGTCCCCGTCACTATACTGGGGCGTTAGGACCCACACAGACCACAGGGTGAGCACCCCC